GTGGATCCAGGAGGACTTCCAAATTGCGAACCCTCTCTGAGGGGCGTATAATTTCACCCCCCAGCCTGAGAGATGGAAAATGGTGCTTTTTAAGAAACACCAGCACAATGGATTGCATTTGTAATCTAGTTCCAGTTTTTTTAAAACTGTAGTTTCTTTTGGGAAAAGCAGTTGAGGAATTTTATATAGCACTTTTGAGCCACTTGATTTCCATGATGCGCTGAGATTGAAACAATCTTGATTTAGCACATTATGCAATTGTTTTCTTGGCTTTTGAATGGCATGTTGGACACCTATTTCTCCAAACTAGGATTAAATCTAAATTGGAATTTTAACTATTTTTATATATAGTTTCTTTATTTGTTTCCCCAAGAGACCAATGGGCAGAAAGAAGAGATCTGTAAGAAGAAAACAATAAACAATACTTTTTCAGTCATGCCTTAACATTTCCCACCTTTCTGTCACATTTAAATTATATTTGGTAACAACTTCTAATGGTCTCTTAATCGTTATCTCCTCTAGATGGCAGCATTATATTTCACTTTTAATTTTCTTGATTGTGCAAATGATAAATTTTTCCTGGTTTGTTTTTCTCTGTTATGCAGAAACCATTATGGAATAACACCTATTGTAGCAATAACTGTTCAGATATTTTTTATTCCAACTGTAAATCCTCTTTATGATTGGCTTTTGGTGCATTTCTAGATCATCCAATAGCCAGTGCTCTTTAGAGGGATTCACCAAATGAGGTTTTTCAGGTATAAAATTCACAAATGTGGTAGAACCCAATGTAAAATCTGAAAATAAATAGAGACAGGATGAAAACAAGAACACCAGGCAAGAATAAAGGTCAGGTATCTGAATACTTATGGACTTATGGTGCATCTTCAATATAGGCTTTTATTTTTGTTTCTACAGCTCGGAGAGATGTCCTTGATGAAGTGACACTTAGCCAGTTAGAATATGGAGGTAAGAAAGAATGGAGTAAATTGAGTAGTGTTAGGTTAATTCATTATTTAATTGGAAAAAAAGAGGTTACCCATAATGCACTGACTACTTTAAGGTGGGCTCCCCTTGCAGGATATAGTTTTGAACATTACCATGTTCCAAGCTAAATGGTGCTTTTTAAGAAACACCAGCACAATGGATTGCATTTGGATCTTATTGGCAGTCAAGGTAGCTCCTGCAGTAACGGCATCACATGGGGAACACAAGGCAGAATCTATTAACATGCAGGCTAATAATTTCTGAATAGCCCTCAAGGGCAGCCCCCTGTAAAGCAAACTGTGGCAATATAGATGAGAGGTACAAGGGCATGAATGACCATAAATAATTCATCCTGATTTGTTGTAGTGTCAAAGAGATAGAGACAGAGAGGGTGGAAGCTGCTATAATGCGAGACATTCAATGTGCAAAATATTGGCCTTTCTGTTAAACTATTGCTCAACTTCTCCAGCTTATGATCATCAAATGCATTTTTGGCAGGTAAGACTAACTGGAGGGTTACCAGATTTTGACTTTAACCTCAAGCTGCGTAACTTCACTGGTTCTTTTAATCTGAGTTTTGCATAATGCGCATCTGGTTTACACTTTTCAGTAGGAGAACTTTGGGAATGCTCTAATTTTACACCAGTTCTACTCTACAGCAATAAAATAAGTTGTCCATTGAATATGAATTGGTGTACAAATCAACATCTTATTCAAATCCTCAGTGACTTTTTGACTGTATTCTATCAATTTATTTACAAAAGCGTTCTAAATAGATGCAGGAATAAAGATTATAAATCTCCAAGCAATGGGGGTATTTTAGTGCTGTTCATCTGCTTACTGCATTTTATTTACTTGTTAAAAGAAAGATGAGTGACTATTAAATGTCCTTATGTACTTTGAGAAAATTACGTTACTCAATAACCTAGGAGCCAAATATCTTGGAGAAACACTAAAGAAGAAGAAATATGAGGTATGGGTTGGTTCAGTACTGTGAAATACTATCAAAACAACCTGGACAGCTAATATAGATAGATAAAGTATATTTCTACCAACTGGGCTTTAATTGTTCAGTCAGAAATTATAATAAAACAAATCCTTGATGAGGGAATATTGCACTGAGATTTGTCCCAAAGGTGTTGTTCAAAAGGCAACTGTACTTTCTTGGTTTGTTTTCCCTTGAATAAGTTTCACTTCTCCTCCAAGAAGGTTCTTCAATTCCGAAGAATTGAAGAAGCTTCTTGGATCAAAAGTGGAATATTTTCAAGGGGGGGAAAAAACCCCCAAAAGTACAGTTGCCGTTTGAATACCACCTTTGGGGGAACCATGACTTGGATGATTGAGAAATTTCATAGATATTTATACTGAAATTTATTAGATTAGGTTTTTAAAAAAAGGAATAATCAGCAAGTGTGTGCTCTCCATAATCTAAACCTTAATGAAAATGGACAAAGAAGCTTGTGTTCTTTCCTCATTGAATTGGAACTTGGATTCATCCAAATAAATAGAATGTTAGGAGGTTTGGGACAGATAAAAAGAAGCATTTCCTCACATGGAACTATTAAAGTGGCATCCCAAGGTTTTTTTTTAATAATAATCACTGACCCAGAATGATTTAAAACAAAATTAAATAAATTCAGACAGGAAAAATGGTCACTGATTGCAAGACATGTTGCCTATAAACAGTAGAACCTCTACCTCTGGAGCAATAGGCTTCTCAAAATTAATCATTGGGCAGCTTGACTGATGGTCTCCAGTGGGCTTTTCTTGAACCATAGTATGAATTAAATACTCAACTAGATGGCCTTTTAGTTTGACCTGGCAGAGTACTTGTTTTTTTTACTCACCAGTGGAATTGGTTATATAATTTAGGTTGAGTGACAATAAGTTATAAATTGTATGATCTTCATCAAAATTCTCCATCATCATTAGAGTTTATATTATACTTTACTGAGTGCTCAAAGTACATCACATCTATTATTGTAATCACCCTATAAAAGAAAGACCACTAACTTTTTTTAGAGGCAGTGATTTGAAGCTAAAATAGTTAATATCTTTCATGGATACTTCTTGTACTCACCTTCTAAATCACGACTTGCTAGTAGGGCTTCTTTAGAGGACAAAGGGAGAAAACCATTAATTCCTTCGCTTGCCATTCTTTCGTTGCACTACAGGTTTATCCAGTGACAGTGACTTGATTTCCTTGACCATTGATGCAGATTTTCTTGTTGAGTTAGATGATGGAATGGCATCTAACCAGGATTCCCCCAGCACATCACTTGGTCTCAGCTTTGCTGCTGAACCTCCAGGATTGGCATCTGCCACTTTAGATCATGAATGGAGCAAATCTGAAAGTGAGAGGGAGAGCCGGGGTTTATTCACTGGGAGCTTGAAGGCCAAGCTTGGCAGAAGAGATTACTTGGACAAAGCTGGAGAACTGATAAAGCTGGCCTTGAAGAAGGAGGAAGAGGAAGATTATGAAGCTGCGTTTGGCTTTTATAGAAAAGGAGTTGATCTGCTTTTAGAAGGAGTTCAAGGTATGACCTCATTTATTTTAACATTCATTTTAATTGACCTAAGCTTTTATCCTCTATGCAGCAAGTTTGAATTGTAGTTAAATAATTGGATATTAAAGGAAAAAAGAAAAGCCATCCTGGGTCACTTTACATTTCTTTCTTTCTTTCTTTGTTGAAATAGGAAAACTTATTAAAAATGATACTTTACGTATAGGCTTACAGGCTAAAAGTCAGTGTGCAGAAAGAAAAGAGAAACCGAGTAAGCAAGCCATCCAAAGCATTAAAAAGAGGTTTCTTAGTTACAAAATTTAGCAGGGTGAAGATCAGGATGCAATAGAACAGGGGTGTCAAACTCGCATTATCACAGCATTGTCATGTGACGTATCCGGATTTTCCCCTTTGCTAAACCAGGTGTGGGTGTGGCCAGTGTGTGACGCATCCGGCCTGTGGGCCACGAGTTTGACAGCCCTGCAATAGAAGGACTTCTCCCTCCAATAGGTTTGGCAGTACCAGCTGATGGGGGGAAAAGGTGGTTTCTAGGTAGGGTGAAATAATTCTCCACTGCTGTTTGTTCTCTGGTATATTCCTCTGAGACAGGTTTAGCAGATGAGGCTTCTGGTAGAATTCTTTTTTCCCCCCAAATCAGTCCAGTGGCTTTTGCTAGGAACAAGGAACTTCTGACCATCAAATTTACTTCCATAACTTCCATCGGTAGAATTCTAGCTCTGTCTTTTTTAAACATACCTTAAAAACTCTTGTTTGCATATGATTCAGTAGGAGCTTTATTTCCCCTCTCCCCCAGCTGCATTTAGATATTACAATGGAAGTTTCAAAGCTTTCATTTCCGATTTTATTTAACCACAACTTAGGAATAGTTCGGCGCCTATAGTATTATTTATCTTTTTGGAAACAAACCACCTTATAAACCATATGTTGAAGTTACTTTATTTCATCTAATGATTATTTCACATGATTAAGAACACATCTCCAGTATGAATAATCAGAAATAGAAGTAAAGCTTAAGATGAGAAGTGCACAATTTCTAAAGGGACGCTACATTGCTCCCAGCATATAAAGCAAGATTTATTATGACACAATGTAAAGAACCCTTTCTTGAAGTTCTAATGTGAGCCCACAGGGGGGTGCTCAAGGCAAAGTCTTCTATTTTTCTCTAGGGGATAAGAGAATCCTTTTGGCTGAACATGAATTGATAACTGAAAGGTAATATTTTTGGATGTCCCAAGTTTCTTAACAAACTAATTGTGCCAAAATAGTTCCCATCCTCTGCACCACTTTTACATTAATAAATGAGTGAAACTAGTATACTTTCACAAATAAATTTGGATATTTATGTACTATCAAATCTGGATCTATCTCTCTATCTCTCTATCTCTCTATCTCTCTATCTCTCTATCTCTCTATCTCTCTATCTCTCTATCTCTCGATCTCTCGATCTCTCGATCNAATTTGCTAAAAATGATTCTGCCCCTCCAGTCCTACTAAACAGAAAAGGCCTGCTCGAAGCCCCACCCGCATAGTAAGCATGTGGACCAAAATAAAGGCCTCTTTAGTAGTGGCCTCTACCTAACGGGGATATAGTTTGCTGTTATTCTCTTGACACTTCAAAAAGCACAAAGATGTTTATTTCAGTGATATTGGGCCATTTGTGAGGAATTGTGGGCGTTTGTCTAATATTTGTTTCTGTTTTGTACTTTATAATGTTATATTATGAAGTTATTATAGATAAATCATATTATCATGACTTATATTACAATCTTATGACTTATATTACAATCTTGTCCATGGCCCAAAGTCTTATATATTGGAGTGGGATTAAAGGTAAAAAACAAACAAAAACAAATTAAATATTTTGTGTCATCTGTTTAGAGAAACAACCACCGGCAACACTTTATTATGTCATTGACATTTATCGATGATCAAATTAACCTTGGTCCCTCCTGAATTAATGAACTTCTGCACTGAGGATTCCTGGTCCCACTTGCCATTGTTGAGCCCCGAAGCTTCTGCTGTGAAATTAACAAGCAGAGACCTTCGCTGATAAAACAAACAGTTTTTCCGATTTTCCATTGGCTTTGAAGCCTACTCAGGAAAGTCGTTTGACACATACACACCAAAAAAAAAAAATCTCATTTAGATTTCAATTGTCTTGTCACTTTTTTGCTGGCTGTATAATAATTTTAAAAATTAATATCTTTTAGTTCCATTGGTAGAATGAAGGTGCAAAGCATTAAATTGACAGTGGTTGTAAAATATATATTAACAATTCTAAATAAGTGAGCATTTCATATTTAGGTTTACACATCTCTTAAATTTTTTAAGCTGCTCCATAAATAATATATTATGGACTAAGTATATGAATGTGACAAGAATGCATTGTTGACATATACAATCTGACAACTTAAAGCTATATTGCCAGATAAAATATCATCATAATGGATATTCATTAGCTTCTCTAAAAGTGGAACTATTTTAAACTTGTTGAGCTTCATACACGGTGAGCATGTCCATGTGTTAGATTATTATTTTTCTGAGTGTATGAGTATCACACTATATCAGGGTAGGCGATCTGCACCTGCAAGAACCCCACTTAACCCCATCTTGCAACCTTCAAAGTATTCTCAATTTGAATTTTAGGAGCAAAAATGCTCATGTTTGGTGGTACAGTTTTTTCCTATGTTTTGCTAAAATAAAATGCAAATAGGTGAATTAATTCCTTGTTTGCTTTATAAATGTACCCTTTCATCAGATGGGCTGCACATTTTAATCCCACACCCATTGAGCCCAGTGCATTCTTGCCTTTGCTGCCGATAGCACTTCGAGCCTGATTTTAATAAACATGACTTCAGCTGCAGAAAGTTTGCGTGCTCCATAAATTCAGTTACATAGTACCATCAATTTGGGGTTTAGTTTTTTATTCTATATTTTAATTTAGTTGCTCTAAACAGTTAACCAGTCAAACTGATTTTACACATTGCTATTAATTTTCAGTCATGCTTATTGTATGCTGAGTTCAGTTTGATTAAAAAGCAATGTATTTTTATAAACAAACAATGGGAATTTAAGACATGATGCTATGTCTTAATTTAATTCTCTCCTTTTTTATTGGTGGACGGTACAGATAATATTTTTTATTAATGATATTATTTTGTTACTATTCACAATTTATACAATGATAATAATGTTTAATCCCTAGTAAAAGTCACCAGAACAAATCTAGACAAACTTTATCCTTGCATGGTCTCCCCACCTTTTTCAACACAGCAACCAGCCAAACAAATCCATAACCTTTATTTTACATTTCAGATTAACTGCAGCTTGCTGTGCTGTCTGACCTTGGAGGAACAATATAACTCTTAACTTGGATAAATGGAAAGAAGCCAACTTCATTTAAGAGTTTATGACTTTGTTTTATTTTGATTAACCATAATTACAATCAAACATAGTTTACAGTTTGGACAACAAGCTAAACTAGAGATAATTTAAAAGAAAGCAAACTTCGTTAATCCCTTCTGAGGCACATGAGAAGTATATTCATGAAGTAAAAGAAGACAGAGGGAGGTTCAAAATTGATATGAATTCAGTTTTTTGGTCTATCATGACACAGTTAAACTGGTATTTGCTAACTTCAGGCGTGATGATAGTTACTCATTTAGACAGTTTTAAAGGAAAATTGGACAGATTCGTGGAGGGTCAGATTAACAGTGGCTACTGGCCTTAATGACTATGATTTTAGAATCCTAGGCAGAAAGCCTGGAAAACCAGCTGCTGGGAAAAAAAACATAACTTCTCTGTATCTCTTTGTAAGTTGCTCAGATACCGCTAGTTGGGTCCATTCTGGACTAGACATGACTTTGGCGTAATCTACAAGGCCCTTCTTATATTTTTAGAAATGGCAATTAGCCCCAGATGTTCAGAATACTTTTGTCATCAACATTGCATATATTCACCAATACTCACTGAGAAGATTGTGGGGCCT